AAAATTAATTTTAAACCAAATATCATATTAAAATCCCACAAATTTTGTATTTAACTAATTTATTTTCTAAAATAATTTATTGAATAGTAAATTTCGAATACCAAATTAACAAAAATATTTAACCCAACACAACTTTTCAAATTTTATTTTTTTTATTCAATCCAAATTTTCTATATCTGTTAGGAGACATTCCACGTCCAGTCATATTCACATTCACAAATAGGTTCAATATATTCAACACCAATATTCAAATTAACTCAATTTAATATTCCAATTGACTAATTCCATGTCAACAAAATTACAACTTTATTTACATAATAAATTAAAATGATAACTTTCAAAAAACAAATCATGTTTGATATAAAATGCATCACACCTCCTATTTATATTCAAATTTTATCACATTTTTTTATTTTATTATTTTGTTCAACAGTTATTCTATTCCTTTCCTTTTCTTTATATTCATAATCTACTCCATTTCTTAATTATTTACTTTCAATCTATTTTGATACACTATTTATATTCATATTTTCTTTCAGAATATTTTCACATTATTTTCCAAAATATTCTCTTCTTAAACACAAATTCCTTTCTTCTTTTATTTTATTACTTTATCCTTTCTCTAATATACCTTTAATCGAAATCTTCTTCTTATTTATTTATTTTGTTTTCAAATTTACCAAATTTACTTTCCTCTTAAACTATTAAACTATCCTATATACACATTAGTATTTCCTATTTCCATTTCATTTACCATATTCTATTTTTTGACTAGATTTTCAAGATTTTCCGTCCTCCTTTAAACTTTACATCTTTTTTTTCTTTTTCGGATTGGCCCCTATTTTTCATTATTTTTCCAAATTACTGCCATTTTTTTATTTCCGTTCTCCTCACTCTTTACTTTCCATGTGTCTTCTTTCATCCTCTTTGATTTTTTTACTAATTTCCTTTGTTAACTTTCGCGACTACTTTTTTGATTCTTCAATTTTCCTTTTTCTTTTGTTTACTAATGTATATTTCTTCAACTTCTATTCCTGAATCTTCTATTTTTTTGCTCAGATCTTTTTCTTTAATTTTATATTCATCTTGTTTCTTTCTTTATTTCTTCTTTTCAAAGTTCAAGTTTTTCTTCTAAACTTTTAAATATATTATCTTGCAACTTTTAACTTCTATACTTCTACCAATCATTTCCACCCCTACATCATTCTTACTCTTTTCTGTTTTATTATCTCTGTAAAATTTGTTATCTTTATCTCTACTTGTATTTTCTACTACTTTTACAAATACTTCCAAATGCTTGTCTATTTTCTTTTTCATTTCATCTAACGTTTCTTTCATTTTATTTATCATCTGAATCATCTCTTATTTATTTTCTCTTATAAATTTCTTAATTTTTTCTTTGTCTTTTCTTTTCATTCATTTTGTTTATTATCTGTTGTCTATTTTTCATTTCTTTCTTCAATATTGAATCATTTCTATATTTTTTTAATTATTGTTCCTTTTCTTCAGTAACTGTATTATTTACATTTTTCTCATCCATATTCCCTTTTCCGACTTCTGCAGATTGTTTCTCTTCCAACCCAACTTTCTTTCTCTTCCAACCCAACCTTCTTTCTCTCCAGTTAAATCCATTTAATTTTCTCTCTTTCTACTCCTTTCACAATTTTAGACTTAAAAGTTTCACCTATTATTTTTATCAACTTGCGCACACCTAATTTATATACCAAAAACAACAATTAAATGGAAGAGATTATAAAAAAAGTCTTACCCAAATTTAATTTCTAAAAATATTCTAATATTCTAAAAATCTAATCCAATAAATGTACAGCCCCACGTAATCTGGTGACACTTGATATGGAAACACGCTGTATCCAAAGACATTTAAAATTTTGGCCGAGACTCTCAAAGGGTGGTTTGTTTTCTAAAATTTACAAATTATTGAATACCAAATGATGAAATAATAAAAAAATAATAAATTCCTAATTATAGTTTTTAATAATTTCTATTTTCTACTGTTGTCGCGGTTACTATCGATTTGCTCCTTTTGTTTCTGTGTCCCTCTTCTATTCTCGTATCCTACTCTGTTTTGCCTCTTCACTGCATCTACCTTTATGTCTATTTCTACGTTTGTCTTCTTTTTCTGTTTCTAAATGTGTTCTTTTTATATTTAACTCTTAATTTTTTGTTAAAATAAAGTTAAAAATACTTCTGTGTTTTTATCATGAAACCAATTAAATTCTTTGATAAGTATATTTAACAGTATTAATATGCAGGTCACTCTATTAATTTTGAGATACAGAATATCAGCGTTACTTACGATTGCCCGCACTGCGTAAGTAGAAATGTTAGTCTTTGGTAATACGGGCTTTGTATTCAGATCATGTCTTAACTTGTTGCAAGCAAAGTAATAAACAATTATTTAAAGTAAAAAAATGGAATTGTTACGTACGCATTACCGTATTATAATTGATTTAGTATGAAAAAACTCCGTTCAAGGCAAGTGTGTTTAGATGATTTGCCGAATTCAGAAGAGGACATAGACCTTCGAGAATATTATAAAAGTTCAAAGACTAATTGAAGAAGATCTGCGATGCTCATATTAAATGAAGAAACTCTCTGCACAGGACTCACAATGGTACATATTATTTTACATGAACTCTTTCATTTAAAGAAGGTTGTAATGAGATGGACGTCACATCACTTTCAAAAGGCAGAACGTGTTAGAATTTGTCTGAAACGTTGAAAATGTTGAATGATGTCGGCCATCGAATAATATCAAAAATAATAGCTAGTGACCAAACATACATATCGTTTTGTAATGTTTCTACTCGTCAGAAGAGCCGAATGTGGATCAATGAAAATGTAACAGCTAAGAAAATTATGTACGCAATTTTCTTAAATTTACATGACAGATAAGTTTACCAGACGTTTTTTTTGGAGTAGTGAAAATTGGGGGCCTTATTCTTCATCTCTCATACCGTTCAACAAATCATTAAATATTATGTGCCAAAATAAAGTGACAGTACTTGAGCATCCTCCATACTCGCCTGATTTAGCTTTTTGCGATTTCTAGCCGGTTAACAACCTCAAAAGAAAACTACAAACAATTTTATCAGAAGATGAAATTGTGGAAAATTAGAATGCAAAAGTGCAATAATATTGGAGGAGATTACTTTGTACATCATATTTTTTTTCCGAATCATTAGTTGATTTTCTGTATTTTAAAACTATTAGAGTAACCTACGTAATTGAGACAAAAACTAATGTGATTTATGCTAATATTACTGAATAAATATCTCTAACATATATTATTAAACTATACAGTATGTTAACTTTTTAAACCTCCCCTCAGAGACTGGTATAGAAAACCAATGCTATTGACACAGCTATTGTATATACAGAAATAGAGCATACTTGCTATCCCACTACCGGTAGACGTGTATATTGAAGCGTCTCGTCTTTATTCTGCTGGGAGAGTAGGTTAACATGCTTTTAAAAGCTCTTCCCCATTATTTATTTATTCCAAAAACTTAATAAAACATACAATTTTTTTGTATATTTTTGAATCCACCGACGGATTAATAAAAACACACTGAAAAATATAAACTTTATTTTTTCTTTCTGTTCGTCTAAACAAATCAACAGTATAGTGAAAATTTTCTCGTCGCCTAATGCTTATTCATAAATTTAACAAACTTTGACTGTTATGCGTTTAGTTGTGGTTGTATGCCACAAACTAAATCAAATTAACTTATTTAGGGCATGTCTTTATTCCGTTAATAAGTGACTATTATATAAGATAAAATAATATGCGTATTCAAATGGAAGAACAGTTTTGCTAATAAAGAAGAACAAAGAAATAAATTAGTGTGTTACGGTTATAAAATCAAATAGAAGTTTACCACAAGAGTAATTAAACCCACAAGTTTAAAATTACATTTTTTATTTATGAAAAATGTTATATAAATTATTTTCAACATTGCTAAATTGTATGATTTAATAAGCAACAGAAATTTTAAATGTACGCCAGTGGAATTGCTTCACATTAATTATGATTGTTCTATAGATGTATCGTAAAGATAAATAATAAAATTGCTCGGACCCATCACGAAGCTCGATATTATTTAATCCCACGTTAATTTTTAGAAGTAACACACAGGAACTGATTTTTTTATGTATTTTAATGGCTTCTATATTATAATTAGCCCATTTTCACCTATCGAAAGAAAAAAAAACATTCACGAATTTAACTAGATCCATAGTCGATGAAACAATAAAAAAAATCTATTTTTTCTGGTATTAAAATAATTATCAAATAAGCAATTCAACTGTCTTATCATTTCTTTATCTGATATTAAAATTTAATGTTTAAGAGATTAAATTAAAGAATACCTGAATTCTTTTAAAATCACTGTGACCATATAAGTTTTTCCACTCTGGTAAAAACAGGAAAATTATTATCATAATTTAAAATAATTACTCTGCTTTGTGAACTTTTAAGAAGCATTTGGTGACTGCAAAAACCAATACAAACAAGCATCCGGTATTCAAATAAGATTTCGTAAGAATTTCAACATAAGATTACGAGTAGATGTTGAGAGATAAAATCAAATTCTTTAGTGCTCGACTAAACTTACATATTGTTGTTTTGATTTGATTTTATTGAGGTCTGCGGGACTAAATTTAGATAGTATCAGGTACTAAATATGGCTACTAGAAAAGTTTCTATGTAAATATTTGATAATAGAAAATTCTTAGAAATCTAGAGACTGTCATTGAAATTTGGAAAGACTATTTGGTAAATTTAATAAAAATTGTTTAAAATACTAAAGACAGGGACGTATTTACTGATCAGACCGCATTCAAACTCTTTTAAAAATAGCTTTTCAAGTACTACAGTTTCTAACCTGGCTTTATTTTGTTTCAGATCTATAACTAATGGCTACCTCACCCAGAAAAAGCCGCGATTTTCGGCAAAAACAGTACCCCAAGTCCAAAAAATGATGCCCTCGAGATCGACGCCGAACTTAAGGGAAAACAGCAAAAGCACAGGAGTGTACTCATACCTGCACGATAAGTCAGGATTGAATTTCGCCCCGACGAGTATAAGCGAAACTCGGCCTACGAGAAATGACGATTCTCCACCGCCAGCGCCCCCTGTTAGAGATTCATCCAGTCTTAAGTCCATCAAGTACGGGCCTGGACACGAAAAGTTTCCGTCGTGGCCTGTGCCTGCCGCTGCGGAAACTCCACAGGTAATATGAACAAACATAACCTATTTTACGCATTTATTTAAAAACATCCTAACAAAAATCTGTTTGATGCCAGTTGCGAACCCTTTTAGTATTGAACTAATTTCCATTTTGGGGGTTTTAAAATAGCTTTAGTAAAGCAGCTATAGTGCTTCTGGAATCAAGATACGAAGGTACAACGTCATGTGTTCATATAAACAGCATATGCAACGACATGCGTTCACGTGACTGTAGGGGGACATTCTAAAAGTTTAACTGACCAGTTACATGACATATGACATGATAGATAACTGATAAAGTATATGACAAGTGACGTTACAGATGACATAACAGGTGACATGATAGCTTGCCTTCTACGATTTAACAAAATAAGTATTTAGGGACATGGGGAATTGGTATTACCAGGTCTAACGTATCAAAAAGAAAGGTATATTCATTATTAGCATTCGTCATTTTCTTTCCAATTTAGTCAAAAGCCGACCAATACTAACGAAGTTAAATGTTAATGCCCTTTTTACGTGTGCTTCTTATTGTTATTTATTAAATCTAAATTACTTTTCACATTGAATATCTTTTTCTCCACACAAATCGTACTAACAATAAAGAAGACAGATGTTAGTATCTTTTGACCATACTACTGCGCATGTTCTGTCATTATCTATTACACTTGATAGCCGTCATGTTATCGGTCAGTTATATGTCACGTCACTTGGCATGTCATCTGTCACTTATATGTCACGTCACTTGGCATGTCATCTGTCACTTATATGTTACGTATTCTGTCAGCTCTTCGATTGTCCTCCTTATATACCTACGTTTATATGCCGTTCACGGTTAACCATATTTATCTGATTCTCATGATTTGGCCTCTTTTATGAAAATCCTCCAGCAATGTTACTTCCATTTAAAAATCTTCTAGTTGTAGATAGTATGATCAAAACCCTTGTTCCTTGAGCTTAATTATACTATAAATGAAACTTTATTTATAATTATTTTCTTTTCTTTATAATTCCTAAAGTGCGACCGTAATTAATAATTGGAAGAGAAAATCCTGGAATCGTTCATTTTTATTTTTAAATTTTTGACATAACAACTTTACCCTTCAGGTTACATCCTCGTAGAGGAAACTACTTCTCTCGAATTTTTAAATGAAACGAGGGATCACGTGACAGCGCATCTTAAAGGGTTTTTAATTATCTATTCAGCGATCTTGTTCGTTTTAAATTTGGTACATTCCTTATATAGAAAAAAAAATACAAATTTTAAATTTTTAAATCCATTTTAATAATTTTAATATAACTTCCAACGAAACTAATTTAGAGCATGTGGTCGGAGACCAAATCTGTCTGACCAATCAGCCTAATATTATCATCATTATCATTAATCTCTTTAACATAGCAAGAGAGATCTCAGTTAACAAGGATGCCCGGAGAGAGGAGTTCTCCAGTCATGTGGACTGTGGTGATGTGAGGATGATCTCTTATGGGAGTTAGAGAGGAAAAAAATTATATACGCAAGCATCGTAGTAAACGCTAAATTAGGAGTCGTTGTTTTTGAAAGGATGTAACAGGCTCTAAATATCAATTAAATGTGGTGTATACAAACCCGACAAAAACCTATGTTGTTACATTCACAAGAAAGGAATACCTGCTAGGAATGAAGGAGCTCTATATGTAGGGACAACATTTAAAACTAACAAAGGAAGTTAGATATCTTGGAAATACCCTTGATATATAGGAAAACACAACAATAAAACCTTTTAAAGTGCTGTGGGCATGTACAGGGCCGACTAGAGGGGAGGGTAGCCGGGACAAATTCCCGGGGCCCGGGCTCAAGTGGGCCCAGCAGCGGTGGTGTTTGTTTAGAGGAATTCAAGTGGAAGATGAGAAAATTTTTTTTGCATGAGGACCTTTTTTTTAGAGAAATTCAAGTAGAGGAGGTGAAATTTTTGTTTGATGACCTTTCGTTATTTAATGTTTTATAAAATTGTCGCGGGGCCCAATCTGGAGAATTGTCCTGGGGCCTGGTCTGGCTCTCGGCGGCCCTGGCGGCATGTAATGGATGAAAAGAAGCACATGGGGGCTTAAACCATCTCGTATATTTCACTGGTATTATACTAAGATTGTATTACCCATTGTAACTTACTTATCAGTCTTATGATGGCAAAAGGTTAAAACCATAACAGCTAGCAGACAACTAGATAAAGAACGAAGCTGTCTAATAATAACAGGAGTACACCTACTGCTAGTTTTTCCTCTAAATTGAATTTGGATGGGAACTTTCTAAAAAAGGAAAACCATACAATGATATTGGATAATTCAAAACAAAATCCGGTATTGATAATGTCATCGGATAGAGTACCTATTATTCATGACTTTATAAAAACTTTTATTAGTACAATTCAAGAAAGAGCCAACAATCAGCAAAATATGGAAAAAACGAATCAATCTAGTAATCAGATGGTTTGAAGATGAAAAACAGCAGAGAAGCTGCTCACCATGCGAACTCAGGGAGGACCAGTAGTCTAAACCTAGTATCACTGACAACAGTCTTCCAGGTTAAAACAGTCTTTCAGCTTGAAGTAAGAGTAATCAATGCCTGTGTCCAAGTCATGCCAACAGTCCCTCCAGAACGTGGAATAATATAACAAGATCACTATTAAATGAGTACCGGGACGTAAGCAAGGGAGTGTTGGAAAATCAGAACGCAGATCTCCTAGCCAGTAGCGGAGCTCAGAAAACTATAATTAGACCAAAACCTTCATGTAGTATTTCATATCAAAATGTTAAATGGCTGCTAATGGAATAGATAAATAGAGAACTCTATAAGCATAGTTGAAATTTCCTAGACTTGAGCAGTCCAGAATATTCATAGATGATCCATCCAAGAACAGGCAAAGCAAACTGCTAAACCTTAGCAGGAATGAAATAAAGACCGTAATAGGACTCTTTGTGGGACACTGCGAACTTGGAAGATACCAAAATCTCTCAATACATAATTCAGTGTTGGCATGTCGGGACAACGGACAGACCATTTAATTTCACTGCCGCAATCAATCCTTCTATTTGAAAAAACTTGATTAAGATAAGCTCTTGCTTTTGCTGCATAATGTGGTGTAGCTCCATCTTGCGATACCATACGTTCCTATTAATTTTGCTCGAGTTAACATCATCAGGAAAATGTATGTAGCTCTGGTACTAAAAAAAGTTTGTATAAAACCTAAGTAACGCTCCCTAGTCAATGTATCATCAAAGAAATATGGCCTGAAAATTCGATCATTTTATATTCCATAAACGTTTATTTTAATAGGGTACTGAATGTGATATACCACAATCAAGTGTGAATTTTATCGACTCCGCTATTATAGACAATTCAGCTTGTTGACTGTTCCATATAAGGTAAAAGTTGCCTCGTCAGAAAAAACAATATTTTTTGAAAATAACGAATTTTCAATCGACGGTCACGATCATCTTCATTTAGTTCCTGCCTCATTTGAATTTTATACCGGCGGTATTTTCTTTTTTCAAAACATGCAAAACAGACGTTTTACTTACATTACAATCAGCTGTTATTTAAGTGGTAGGTTTATATGGATTATCATTAATATTTAATATTCAACTTACTCTCGTAGTTTAATTTTATCCTGCCACTTTTAGGAAAATATTTTACTGTTCTACACTGGTGGAATTTTTGTTCCATTCGACTCACTGTCGACTGAGAAACCTTACTTATTGTTAAAGATTGTACATACTTAGTTATGTGTACTTGTTTTATCAACAACTCCAATTGATATTAATAGATAAATAATTCTTAGGCTATCTGAAAGGCTCATGTTGAAAATCGGCCTATTTCAGAATGTTATTTTCAAATTATTAATTCGTTCGTACATTACTTTTTGTATATCATCAATAGGTAATTTGTTAAAAACCGAGATTATTATCAATTAAAATTGATTATAATTATGTTTCTGATAATGTATTAAGCGCATTCTTGGTACGTTTTTTAAAAATAAGGTAATATTTAGTTTATCGATCATTTTACTTCTTAGTATTACCCAATACAAATAGCGATCTTTATCATTATTCAATAAAAACACTCTTGTATATTACAATTATTTAAATCACGATACATTTTTTACCGATTCATCTGATTTGTTATTTAGAATACCAATTTGTTCACCATAATTTGAAATTTAAGATATAATCGCCGACAGATGATGGATAGTTTATTAGATCTATATTTATACGCAAATTTATTAAGCTATTATGAAACATTCCTCTTCTGTGCGAACCGTAGTAAATGGCGGCCATTGGAATGGCAAAAGAGGCAATAAATTATCGACTTTTCGAAGAAATCGTCGTCACGTTATTAAGTTAACTACCAGTCAATTTTCATTAGTCAAGTTACTTGCATTCCATGTGTAAGTAAACATAATAAAAATTTCATGTAACTGCAAGAAATTAAATGTTTTTAACGTGACGGGAGCCACTGAGATCGTGCCGGATCTAACCATTTTCCACATTTTGCTGGAAATGGGCCAGGATGGTCTCGTAAAGACTTTTGACGGTGGGAAAGAACTTCTATGGGAGAAAATGGGACTGATGAGTGAAATGTGAAATTAATCACCACTATATTCTCGGCTTGGTCTCAGACTCGCTAGTTCCCCGACATCGCAGAAAAATTATAAAGCGTCTTCATTTCAGAGAGATGTAAAGATCAGGGGGAATAAAACCATTTTCGAGGTATACTACGCGCTGTGCACTACGGCTCCAAACATAAAAAAGAAGTAGGAACAACCTAGGCACTCTGACCACGATATTAGAAGCAAAAATTATCGCTTATAGAATTGAGAGAGTTGATTAATTTTCTCTCCACTAAGTATTAAGATTTTTTTAGATAGCCAGGCAGCATTCAAAGCCCTGAGCCTTAATCGAGATGACCCAAAGCTGGTTTGGAACTGTATAAACACTCTGAGTGCCTCGATGGCCGAAACAAAGTTACTTTGATTTGGATTTCGGGACACACCGGTAATGAAAAAGCCGATGCGCTTGCTAAAAGAGGAACCAAAGTTCGTAGGACTAGAACCATTTCTGGGCATTGCAACGAGCATTGCCAAATGAATTATCTCAAAATGGAGGGAGAGTGTAAAACTCGAAGAGATACCGAGGGCTAATTTATTGGAAGGCATTTATACCGAACCTTTCTATGAACGCCTCTACTCAGATCCGGGAATGGAGTTGGAAAGATTTGATGATCTGATGAACAGGGTATTGTTATCTATGTAACCACATGAGAAGAATAGGTCTGCAACAACCATCAGACTGTCAATTCTGCAGCGTGGAAGGCGAATCTTTAGAACACATTTTATGTACTTTTCTTGTGTGTGTAGAGAAATGCAATTTACGCACCCCTGGAATCAGAGAGTGTGGGACTACGTACTACCCACAAAAACTACACATTTACCGAGGTCTTGGAATCGCTGTTAAACTTTCAATCGGGTCCGTCGGTTGTCAGTTTACTTGGTCATTCTATTCTCTCTTCCCTTTTCTTACTTTTCATAACTTTGCCGAAAAAGTACTTTGCTGTCATCCAACTCTCTCTCGTTCTTATCACTATTTCAGCAATAGTGTGTCTAGTTAGGTTCCTTCGCCTTTTTTGTGTTAACTTGGTCCTTTCTCAGTTTAATCGTACACTTCTAAACAGAGTATGTTCGGGTGTATCCGTTTCTTCACCATACCGGCATAGATGGTTATTTGTTTTTCCTATTTTCTTAATGAAGGTTTTAAATGATCGTTGGCCTGTCAGGGCTTGCGTCGTAAAGTAGTCCAGAACCCTATGCTTGCACTTGTACCATGTTAACGTCCGGTAATATAGTTTTTGTCCATCCGACCATTCTCTTTGCCACCTGGCGATAGACCTTTTTCTCTCGTCTTGTTTTGCCACTTCCCTCATTTTCGTTGGCACATTCGTTAAGTTGTTTATTTCTTCTACTAGGAGATGTATTGGTACAGTTCCAGTTATAACTTGGATTGCCTCAAATGATACTGTCCTGTATGCTGATGCCACTCTCAGCGTCGCCTTTCTGTGTTCCCCTGTAGCATTTGACGTTCATTGCTTCGTGTCACAGTAATGCCCCATAAAGCATAATGGAGTGAATTACCCCTATAAGTAGTATTCGATTTTTGCTCTGAGGATTTTTCATCCTATCGTTGACTTTCCTTGCCACCTCCTTGATGTGGTGTCCAAAGCTGCCTACGTCGTATATGACTCTGCCAGGGTATTTTAATTGCATTTTTGGGGTCACCACTGTGTCGCGTATATTTATTCTGACCGCTTTCCTTTTTGCCTTTCACCAATAGTCCCAGAGAACCACCATTTCAGTTTTTTCTGGTGTCAGTTCTAATTGTTCATCCATGTAACTTCTGTATCTAGCGTCAGATTCTTTGTACCAGCTTCGCATTGAAAATAACTAGATTCCAGATTTTCGGATTCACCAGACTAGAGCTTACCGACTTTAAATGAGTCTCACTTAATTCAACAATGGCCTTCATTAAAAGGTGACATGAGTCATCCTATTCATTTTCAACATAACCCTATCATTTATAAAATCATGCCCTACTTCCTTGCCCTACTCTACTTAAATCAATGAAAATTCTATACATTTGTTTTTTCTGTTTTCACATCAATTTGCTGGTATTGGACAACAAAATAATTTATCTTATTAAAATTTTTTAAGACAGAGTTAAACCAGCTTAATCTGTAGCTGTAGGCCGTTCAATAACATTTATTTATTTGCGCAAAGAGTACTGTCAAAGGAATTACCTTAAAATAGATTAATGGTACCAATAAATTGGAGATATACCCCAGGGCTAACCCATTCGAAGGCGTTTAAAAAAGTTTAAACCAACTGTTCCATGAATGCCTTTATTCAGATCCGCAAATTGAGTAGAAACTCAATAATCAAAAGCTCTAGGCTCTGTCTGCTATAGATACGTACCATATTTTAATTTAATTAATTTATTGATTAGCAAATGGCACTATGTAAAAGCACGATCAATATTTGTACCTCAGAGCCCAACCTTGGATATTAATGTCGATGTTTGAGTCAAATAAAACGGACCTATAATCCATAATTAGTACATTATGTATGTATGTACCAGCACCCATTAAAGTACTAACATTAATAATGTTTGCCATCAAATGTAAAGCTGGTCAAATTGTGTTATCTATTGTCTATCTTTCGTCGCTTCTTTCATGCCTTCCCATTTTATGTCTCTGTTTGCTGCTGGTTCTTCTATTGTCTCATTTCATATTTTTATTGGTTTCCCTTTTATATTCTATCCCTGTGCTTTTGGTTCAAAATGTTTAAATTAAATTTTAAATTATCTTCTGAATTTTGCTATTTTCGTTATTTTCTTATTTCAGGACCAAATTTTTATTTTTGTTCATGTTTTTGGTTCCTTTAGATAAAGCATCATCAGCTATTACAGTAAACATAAGAAGAAAATTCTTAAGATTATACATTAGACACTTTTAGAAAAAAACAGGTAGTTTTTGAATAGTGCATAATTTTATAGAATATTCTACTAATATTTTTAAATAATAATAATAATAAGTAATTTCTTCTATTTTAATTACTTGTTTTGTTTCTAGGCACTACGCAACCAAAACAATGGCGGCTCACATAGATCAAAGTCATGGACAGACCATACCAATTATCCTAAAGAGAAGGTAGTACCATACACGAGACCATATATGAAAAGACAACATTCAGCATATACTCAACAGGTCAGTCTGCTAAACCGTCTACGCTATTTACTAAACAACTAAGTTTAGATTCTTCAGCACGGACTCAACAATAAAAGTGTAAAGAAAAAAGATTAATGGTGCCAAATTGATAACGTTACTTGAGTAATAAGATAATAATTTCACCTACAAAATCGATGTTTTAAACGAAGTAGGCTGATACTACCATTTTTCATTTCTACTTATTCGCGGAACGAAAATACAAAAAACAAAAACAACAAAACTATTTGAAACATTAACACACATACTTTTTTATATACAAACCTCAAATGTAAACCGTTTTTTTCAAGATCACGACGAACGTGTTGTAACTATTCGGCTGTTAACCTTAATGTTATCTCTTAATGACCCGTAAGTTTTTCTCTGTAACTGTTGGTGTCTATCTAATTAACATACCTCAAATTACTACTAATAATATACCATTATAAACGACATTCTGCTGCAGGTCATAAACAATACTTATATCGTTATCTGCAGTTGTTGGTTGAGGCAATTCCCTTTCTTTTGCAAATTGAGAGAGAAGTTTTTAATAAGCGGTAATTGAAAGGAGGCTTTTAATTTTGCAAATTATATAATTTGAAGTCAAGTGATCTAAATCTTTAACAAGGTGAGGAAGATTTTGTTTTATTTGCGATGGAAGTGGCAATTATTATGAATGAATGAATCATGGCTAAAAGAGGAAGTGAAAATGTTTATACGATATAAACAACTATTAATTTGCTCGTAATTGTTAATTCACCTATAAAAAGAAAATATAAATAATGAAAGATATATGAAACAAAAAAAGAACAGAAACACCCTTTTCGTCTCTTATAAATAAGTACTAGATAGGTACTCAAAAATTAAGAATGGAGCATTTAGAATTAAAAAATGTTGGTTTCTACTTTGGTCAGTGGTAACAGTGTTTCTTAGGGACTTAATTCATTTCGTTCAACCATTGCAACTCTCCGAGTCCTCACAGGTGTTAGATAAGGCTACAACTTGATGGCGCCACGAATTTAAAACACTTATTTGATTATGTGTTTAAAGTTAAATTTTAACAAATAAAAACCAGAAATTTTGCAAGGCATGTGTCACATAATACGAGCGACCGTTAACCCTTCGAAAAACAATTACTCCTTTGTCTAATACCGCAACAGGCATTGAATTATAACCAAAGGAAAATACCAGAGATAGAAAACAGATTCTAACACTCTAACTTTGATTTTGATTAACAAGGAGAACGTCACCATTGAACCGATTTCGTCCTTATGGGGACTCATCAACAAGAAATCGACAATCTCGATTCCAGTTTCTAATGGAAATTGTAATTGCATTAAATTAACTCGTTCACATGGATGGTGATTGAGCGAGAACAGAACCTACAAAGTAGCGCCATCTGCAGTTAGTATACTTTACTAAAAATTGCAAATAATAGCGATTGGTCTATAATTTGTAATATCATTTCTGTTGCCCTTTATGTACACCGGAACAGGTTCTGAAATTTTTCATTTCTAGGAAAAAATAGACGTAGATATTATCAGATTAAAAATGATACTAAGCGGCTTAGCAAAAACAAATAAGCATCACGCCAAAAGCACATAGACATATTTGTCTTGATTCGCTTAATAGATTCGATTACGTCGTTCTCGAAAATCTTGGACATTACCAAAGCGCGGTTAGGAGAAATAACATCAAATGAGGGGAGATTTACATTTATAGGGTAGTCTAAAAACGAGTCACTAAAATAGTCGGCAAAATAAGATGCAATAGCGGCTGCTTGTTTCTAAATTAATGCCATTATAACACATATTGGCTGGTAGTGATTTACATTTCTTTTTAGAATGACCAAAAATTCTTTAGTTTGAGTTTATCTTCAACGTGGGCTAGACAGTTTTGATGGGCACTCATATTGTCAGCTTTAAAAACAGACTTCAAACGTCTATATTCATTAAGATCATCATCAATTTTCGTTTTTTTTTTATATTTTTCCCAAGCTTAATTTTTTATTTAACTTGTGAATTAAAGGACCAGTAAACCAGATGGGGTACGTTTTATAACAAGGTTTCGTCTTTGAGACACGTTGATCAAGAACAATATATAATTGGTCATAAAATAGACTTAGAGTTGTATCAACGTATTAAATATTAGGTAGAAATGTCCAGTCGATCAAAAATAAGTCTCTATAAATGGCAACAAAGTATGCTTTTTTAAAGTTGTACATTTTATTAGTATCGTTTTTTATAGTTTTCATCGAATACTAACGCGGGATGATATATGTCTTCTGGATATACCAAAACATCATTTTGAACCGAGCATGACGAGGTTGAAAAAATTAAATCAAAAAATCGCATGTCACAGTTAATAATGTTATTGTATTGTGTAAGCTCGAAAAAATTACAAAGATTATTTAACGATTGCATTAAGTTTAACTTCAGTTCTATTCTGCAATGTATGTGCAAATCCCCTACCATCAATACTGGAGCATATGTGTTCTCGAGTTCTGCTGGAGTAACTATTTTCAATTTCAGAGACTATCCTGTTTCTTTTGTAATAGTAGGAAGAGCTTCGAAATGATCTACCCATTGTTTTTTCATTCATCTTAATTTCATTCCATTCTTCCCTGCTTTTACTTGTTTTATGTCATTTTTTTTTGCTTTCTTTACGTTTTTGTCTATTATTCCGTTCCTTATCTGTTATTGCGTTCCATTTATACCTATTATTTTGTAATCTTACGATTTATCCATAATTACCTACTCATATCACCACTCTATTAAGTTTTGTAATACAATAAATTTGAGAATGTTTTGTTTTTAATATTTTTTCAATTTTAGAATTTATGAATCCCTTTTTTATATTATCCTATTATTTCCTGTATTTCTTCATAATTTACTTCATAATATTCATTAAAGGATATACATAATACATGTTTCTTGTTTTATTCTCTTTATGTTTAATGCCTTCATTAGGCTTTAATTCTTGCCAATATTCTCTTCTAGTAATATCATTTCTAGGTATTTCCAGGTTTTTAATTATATTTCCTTTATTTTACTCCTTTTTTTTATAGTTATTTAACTTCCTGTCTTCACAGGCGTAGTCTAATTAATTTTTATTAAAAAAAAATATTAAAAATCGAGCATACTATTTTAAAGCACAAACCAATTACATTCCTCTCTCCATCTTGCGGAGCTATTTAAAAAAAAGTCCTTCACCTTGTCGCATAGCGTTAAACGCATCTAAAGAAAATCTAGGCGATTTCCTAAAAGGTATTCCAAAACCCATTATAACAATTCTTATCTCATATACTAGGATTAAAAAAAGACTCGTTTAAACGGTACTAGTTGACTTTTAGCACGTAACAATGGTAAAAACCAGCAACAACATTCCCATGAAGATGTTATTACATGTTAATCAATGACAAACAAAAAGATTTTTAAGTTATACGACTCTAAATATTTGTTCTCCTTTATAGATAGACTGCAGTTACTCGTACATAAAAAAGTATGGTTATTCAGTGTCGTAACGAAGTGGGAGGTTATTAGTTTGAAAGTAATTTTATTGCTTTAATTGTTTTTACCTCGGTGTTCTCTTTTTTTGCCATAATAATAATTTGTATTATATTTTACTACTTTCTGATTGTGCGGTGTTAATTTTTCCCAGTGCTACTTTATGAACAGCTCGTTTAATTTGAAACCAACATTGGAAGGCCAAGTGGGCATTAAATAATTGTTTATTAAATTAATTTAAAAAATTCAGGTGCTGATAAATCTATTGATCTAAAATTCTAGACTCTGATAACTGAGTCACTACCCCCACATATCCGTATTTAAATATTAATGAATTTTCAACAATTAGCAAATATATACTTCCGATTATAATACAACCGCTATTAAGAAGGTAAATTGAGTTTAAAACGCCTTAGTGCGGCATAAATGTCTAATTTTCTGATACATGTGTTGTTTCTTGATATTATTCCCAAATGTGCAATATATATGCTTAATTGGCCGCTTTATTCACCTTAATGGTCTAGCTTTCTATCCTATACCAACCAGACAAGCCCCAATTACTCTGGTATCAAAAACTCTGGAATGTTTTAAATCTCTTGATTGACCAAACATTTAAAACTAAAATGAACCACTTCATTTCACTACGATATATACCCACCTGCATAACAAGTGGCAAAGGAAACCAAATGAAGCAGAAATTCTTAATAACTAAGTTGTAAAATAATACTAATACCTCAGTGTGTAAACAATAATTTTATTTAAATAATTAAGTGACACTTTCTGAAAGCTTGTAAAAATATAATATAAAATATTTTAACAATAAAGTAGTGGCTCCTTTTTCAAAAAATCTCGAAAATAAGAAACTACAATAAGTTATTCCTAAATGTATACAATACGGTCCTAAATAATGCGTTTAAAGTTATCCACTCATCTCAACACAAACGTGCTACATGTCTTCTCGTATCGATCTTCCTACATGTCCTCCACGATGTTCCCGCAAATCACCCGTATCCCTAGCCCGTTCAGTTAGATTAGTGTAAGTTCTGAGACCAGGATAAGCTCTGGGACTAGGTGGGCTCGCGAGGTTAAGCTTTCACTGTACAACACCGATGCACCACTTTGATGCATGCAGTTGAAGATACTTTAACATAAAATAGTTGTCATATAAACATGCTATTGAAATTACATATACGACTGAATTACAGTAACTGGTGAAACGTGATTCTTATACAAGAAGAACCTAAAACAAAAATTAAAACATAAAAATATAAACATTTACATTAATTTTTAATATACAAGTCCAGACCCGGATTTAAAATTTTAAATTCTGCATCTTTATTATTTTTCAATTTCTTGAAAAATATATTTATTTTAACGACTTCTATACACAGTTAAAAGTATTAACTTTGGATTCACCCTGTAAATGCATTATTGAGTAAATGGTTTAAGTTAATTAAAATTATCTTCATGATTATTAAAATCCTTAATAAGCGTAGCCGAAATCATTGATTATCAATAATTTTCAACATCATTGCAAATGACACATGGCAGATTAAGACAAATGGCAGATGAAAATTGTAAACGCGAAATCATTTAGGAGTCTTCTTAACAGATTAGGTTAGAATTATCGAATAAATAATAAATTTAAGAAAAGGTCTATGATAAGGAGTCTAAAATAATGATTCATACATAATATGAAAGATCCCAAAACAGTAAATTTGCCCAATTCAAAATAATGAGAGAGTCAGACTATCGTACCACACTGGACAAGAAGCTTGAAGTTAGTAAACTTGAATAGTAGACCATGTATGGCCTAAACATGGCCTAGTCGAAATGAAGGGCAAATTTAAAAGAAGAAAAAAGTAGGAAGCAACAGTGGCGGCTCGTGATAATACGAGATGGTAGTGTCAGATTTTTAACAAATACAAATACATTATACAATTTTTAAATGATTTAAAACATATCGATTCTTATCCACTTGTTGATTATGTTGAATTAGAACATCACAATAAGCCGAATTTAACTGGGTTTTTATATTTAACTTACCAAGCATAGAAAAGCACTTTAGATTTTTCATGGGATTTCATTTTATCCCATATATGGACAAGATCGTCTGTGCCTTTTTTTGACCAAGTCTCATCACGTTCAAACAAAACACATACAAAACAAACCAGTTTATTAGTTTCTTCGCAACCACACAACCAATTATTTTTATCATAAATAGTTTTATTAAATTTACGACACCGCGATTTTTGCCCACTTCCACTTTGTTTTTCAATTTTTAAATCGTGAATTGGCCTATAATTTATAACAACTAGATAAACTTTCTATTGAATTATATAGTTTGGACTTAATAACAACTAAAAATAGGACTGGAAACTTTAGCGAAAATTTAAAAATTGGCATTTATATATAAATCAATTAATTACCTCAAACAAAACACTTCAAAAATAAGTTCACAAATCGCTGCACAAATTTTTACACATTTCGATGTTTCGGAACTTAGGATTCCGAAACGAGAATTTAGCCTTTCTGCAAGAGTTTTGAACCTCAGTCCTCACTCGGGTATTTTTGTTTCTGTATAGTCTCTCTATTTAACTCCAAAATTTACGTAACAGTTTCACTTTTTTGAATGTCAACGTACTACCTTCGATAATTCTCTAGTTCATTGTAAGCCATTGACTAGAGAGTGTTTGTTCTCTTTTGAATATTAAGTTAAAACATTCAAAAATACTTTTTTTATAATTTTTATTAAATTCTTTATATTCTCAAATAATAATGCCAATTATTACAGCCAGTTGTGTGCTCGATTTATATCTCCTATAAAACATAGCATCGGTATTTAACGAAACTTCTTTTAACCTACTCTTTAAATTTTCTATAATTTTAGACCGAGAAAAGTTATGAGTATATAATTCACTTTCAAATCGTAGATTTATGACATTCCTTGATTCTCCTACAATTTAAATACTTGTCAATCGTGCTTACTTGTTTTATCGTTTAAATAGTCACGTGATTTATTATTTTTATTGGAATTTGGTTAATATAAACGGTTGTAGTTAAATAATACTCTTTATTGATTTTTATATTCCTATTTAACTATTTTGTAACTATATATTTATTTTAATAGAAACAGTTAATACTGAATTCTATACATTCGTTCCTTCTGTTAAAAAATAAATAATACACCAATGCCTAGCAGTATTGTGGGTTTCCCTTAAATGGAATGTTGTAAATCAGCTGGCTGTGATATCCCAAGAATCTTAGAAGTAACTGTGTGGACTATGATGATAGCCTGATCTCGATGAAATCCATTTGAATTCGTTTGATAGCTAGTAATAAAAAAAATATTATATTAGTTAACCGGTTCGTTTAACTTTATGTTCTTATTAATACAGTTGTCCGCATGATCGAGACACGTCTACCGCAGCAAATTATTTGTTTTCAAAAACGGTACAAACACGTTTTCATGTCGGATATGGAAAAAAAGACTAAACATGACCGAATAAACATAACTCTTCCCATAAACTATTATAGCATATTATATTCCAAAGGGAATTAAAGTGCTTCTTTTAATCAGCTGCGATCGGAAATTATAAGTTTATTACCAAACAACTGTCGTTTAATTTCGAAGATTTAACACCTCTATATTAAAAAATTAATACTTTCAATGTCGAAGAAGCTGCAGAAGAAGCATTATACGATTTACTACTTTAACTATAACATTTTTAGTCCCATTGAGAGTAACAGTTGCACTTTAGTCCCTAAAATCAGCGACTAAAACTCTTGTTTTGATTCCCACAGAGCATGAAATATTTTTTTGTGTACACGTATTATTATTACCCTATTATCAATCAATTATCATAAATAGTATTATGGTACCTCAAAGCACTTCATCCAAAAATTAAAAATTAACTATTGTTCTTCTTGTTTTTTTTTTCTATTATTTTCTTCTTCTTTTCTTGTTTTTATTTTGTCTTTCTATACAGGATGTTCGGAAAGAGAGGATACACAGCTCAAATATATCTTCCTATAGTCAAATAGGATCAATACATTTCATCAGTACAAAGTACAAAAGTGTTAACGTAAGAAGTTATGGTATCCTAGACATAGGTAATTTAACAGAGGTTATGTCATGAGCAGAAGAACCACCTTAGGGTAGCTCAAACGTTTTAAATTTTACACTCTTCATGTCCGAAGATTTTTAGTTGTCTATTTTTAAAATTTCCTGTAATGTCTAAAGGACCCTACCTTGTCTTATGCAAATTACAACTTGTCTGTAATTTTATATGTTACTGTACTTAATGACTTGATTAAAAGCCTTTGCGGGTTCAATCCAGAATTCTTTAAATTGGACTATCAAAAGTCCCTCCTCAATATTTTTGGAAGTTACTGGCTAATTTGTAGTTAAAATAATACTTATTATTCAAACTATTTTAACTTAAAAATTGATTTATGTTTCCACGTGCATTTGGTTAAAATATATAACTACTGTTAATATTTTTCAATCCTGAATATAGTGGAGATCTCGATGTCCCCCTCGGAAATTCTTATTAAAATTGGATCTGCATTTGTATTGTGCGGAGGGTGGGTTACTACACGGTACTTATGTCTCACTAGGCCCATTGTGCATCCTCCTAAGTTGATAGGCACCTCCTAGCCTATATATTTAATGTAGTTGACAACGTCGCCGAGAGGTGCTTCTCTTATATTCGCCGGTGTTAGCCGATACTCGCCGAAAACAAATCTTCTAATAAATGAAAGCGTCAGGCAATCGTAGAACATTTAATGGTTTGTTCTTCTTGTTCGCACCCCCTACAGAGTGCGGATTATGACATGATATGGAGAAATATTAAAAGCTTAGTCTATAAACTATCGTTTTTTAGTAATACAAAATATCTATTCACAATCATAATATTTTTACAAATTCAGACGATTTGATAGATAATTTGTTCACCATAAAACAAAATAAACGATTAACTTGACATTGAACTACATTATGTTACATTGTTTTTGTCTATATTTTAAGCTTTACATTTATCATTATTACTGTTGGTTATAGAATTAAAGTTTAAAGCTCAATTATTATGAAGTTTAAAAGGCTTTATTTTAATATTTGAATAGTTTTAGACACAAGGTATTCGCTTGAAGTAAACACGGCGAGAAACATTTGAGTTTTGGTTTTTTAGCATAATGACTGAGCAAAATAACAATAAAATATTAAAAAATAATAATAAATTTATCTGTAGAATATAAACATTTCGACTAATTTCATACTTCTAGTTTTACTACCCACAAAATATGTTGTTGAGTTGTGTCCTTTACATTTCCGAACATCCTTAATAAAAGTATTCTGACTGATTATAACCTATAGGTGTTTTCATAAGCATTCACTGCGGAATAATTTTTAAAAAGTTTATTAAATTGTTTGTTTCAAATCAAAATTTCTTGTTTCAGAAACTCAAAACTGTGATGGAAAATTGTGAAAAAATTCCACCCGAGACATTTGAATCACGCTACGACAAAATGAGTGATAGAATTTTCTTGCCAAACTTGGATAGCGACGGTAAAAAATTAGGCGACATGGAATACATTGTGCCATCTCCTCCTGAGCGGGACATTTCCTCCAAACCGCAGCTGACTCAGTCCGAACTGGAGGAATACGCTAGGTCCTATCAAGAGCCCAAGTACTGCGACGATATTAAGCCCAACCATGAACTTACAGAATCGGGTAAGCATAAAAAAGCCTTATGAGCACCTGATTTCTTATTATTTTTACCTAATATTACCTAATAGCGTATAGATTAAAAGGTTTGACTTTACTATTTGAAAATTAGCGCTGCATTTTCTAATTATATGCTTGAAAATATCATACTAGTTGGCTCTGTATCGCATCCTTATCTCATCATCCTCTTGCAGTCGTCTTTCGAGGGTATTAAGAGTTACTTTGATTATTGACCAGTTGACACTATTCATGTTTGCTATCACAGAAGAGTAAAGATGTTAAAAATGATAAAAGGAATTTTTACAAGGCACTGTTTCCGAAATTTCATAAGGAAATCTAACATTCAATCATAAAAAATTTAGAAAACACCTCCGCATATATTATTTTACCTTATAGAGTAGCGGTTCTCAGCCAAAAATTGGCTCCTTAAAAGAAAATGCTCCATGAACGACATCCCACCGACAAACCACAAAAAATAATCAGCAACAGGGATCAGAAATATATTAATTAGTTCTACTCATAATTTACTCGTAGATTTTACTTGCTGGAAATTTCCATGCATAGATGTAACTAAAAATATGACAAAGGATCAAACTCCATTTAGAAAAAATTACGACGCAAAGTGTGCAGATAAAAGCTGAAATCAATAGTATATTTTAAAAGGAAGCTTCTCAATAAAGGATTTACAAATATGTATAGATTATATACCACTAAAACTAGATAAAAATTACCTAATACGCCAAATTAAAATTACTACGCAACCTTTTTCCTTTATCAGACGGCCTTAAGGTTAAAGGCAAAGTTCAATCGTAAAGCGTGAAATCAGCCACTGAATAAAATAAAGAAACGTGTCGATCTCACCTAATGTTAAACATAAAATCAACATTTTCATTTTGTCTGAGGCTCACTCGTCAGGGTGAAGAAAAGAAAAATTAGAGGTTATGGTTATTGACAAAAATGCGAGAGAGGAGTAGAAACAGTCTTAAAAATGACAAGGGACCCCGCACTTTTTATAGAGAAAAATGGTCTAATTCTAGATCTTAACATCCTGAACAAAAAAGGTAATGGGCAGAAAAAATGTACCGTCAGGATTTTGCGCTACGGTCCATAGAAGGTCGGCACCTTGGTTTTCAGGTTTTGGGTCATTTTTATCAAAAAAGAGCGTATTCAGTGGCCGATTATGGAGACATGCATATCTGGAGGTGTGTTAGAGTGAAAAAGTACTATATAAAAAAAATAAGCCAAAAAAATGAGCCAAAAAAAAAACGAGATTAAAAAATATCCATTCCGGTCTTCCACACCACCTACTGAGATTCCGAATGAAGCGCATTAGCTTTTTTATAGTGGTTCTTCGCTAATTGCTCTATACTCCACTGATGTTTTACAAACTATTCAATCTCAACTAATCTAATTGTACTGTAAGTGGATACTTGACGTTTTCCTGGTGTCTCGCATACCCCAGAAACCAGGCCACAGCCGCAATATGAGAGCATGTACCCAGTGTTCTTGCCCCGACTTGACAAGTACAGTAGTATCCAACAACAGCATTTTCATCACCTCCAACGGACTCGTTAGTAAATGCGATCCACCAATTTCCTCTTCGATTTCCAAGTCTATCCGTTTCTATCAGTGCCATAACAACATTTGGTTCTTGTGCCCGAGCGACCATTCTTTCAGATTCCTGTCTAGTTGCAAATATCAGGAGAAAATCTTTAAGATTCAGGAGTTGTGAAGTCGGAATCACATGATGTAAGAATTTGAATAGGAGCTTCATGAGACCATTGCGGGCCTCCACAATCCATCTGAGTTTAGTAACGAGTCTCGTATCATTTGCCAATCTATTTGCGACAAGTTATTCGGCAATCGTAAGCAAAAAGATCATTGAAAAGTAAATCTTGACTGAATCAAGGTCAAAAGCAAACTATTTTCGGCTTTCGCTTATTCCAATACGGGGTAGTGTTTGTAAGCAATATTTTCCTTTCGCGGTTTTCAAGAGAACCGCTCTGTAATCGGATGGCTATAATGCATATCACCTGAGGTCCCAAGAGAAAGAGAGAGAGGGAGTAAGAGGGGGATATTGTAGGAAAATAAAACGAATCTCCGTGTAAATAAACAATTGAAAATGAGGAATATACTGGGTACAAGGTTTATGAACGACTATATGTATACACGAAACAAACTATACACGGGAGACCGGAACCTACAGTAGTATTAGATCGCGTCCGCGATGCCAGAGCAAATGCCAATAATCACATTGAAATCGAAGTAGTTGAGATGGAATAGTTTGTGGAACATCAGTGGAGTATTGGCGAAAAACCACTATAAAAAAGCTAATTCGCCTCATTCGGAACCTCAATAGGTAGTGTGGAAGACCGGAATGGACATTTTTTAATCTCGTTTTTTTGGCTCATTTTTTTGGCTTATTTTTTTTATATAGTACTTTTTCACTCTAACACACCTCCAGGCATGCATGTCTCCATAATCGGCCACTGAACACATTCTTTTTTGATAAAAATTACCCGAAACCTGAAAATCCATGTGCCGACTTTCTATGGCCCGCAGCGCAAAATCCTGACGGTAGATTTTTTGTGCCCATACCTTTTTTGTTCAGGATGTTGAGATCTACATTTTCCACCAAAAAGTAGACCTTGGGACAAACCATTTTTCCATATAAAAAGTGCGGGGTCCTTTGGCTATTTATAGACGTTCCACTTCTTGGACGACGGTCAAAATATAACTCCTTAGTAATCAATAAATAATGTCATATAAGTTTGCCAGTTAAACATATTTGTAGTGATTAGTCATTATTGTTTTAAAAAAATATTTTCCATGGATTAGAAAATAAAAATTGAATCATTTCACACTGATGAACTAGAAGTACGTCACAGAAATTTTGTAATTTCGATGTAGAAAAATTGTTTTAAAATGTTATTTATAACAGATGGATAGTAGCAATGCATAAAAAATATTTAAATTTACACGAGGCCTTCAACAAAAGATCTAAAAAACTTTTTAACAAATTTTATTAGAATTAATGTTCCTGCTAGCTAAAATATTTTTCATTTTCATAGGTCTCGAAGAATTCATGGAATACACAAGAAACTACGAAGACTCCCTCTTCGGCTCAATGAACTCCAAACACGATGGAAGCATCCTTACCCATCTCCACCAAAAACAAATATCCTATGCCCAATCCGAAGGCTATCACAGCTACGTATCCAGCACGGATTCCACTTCGACCCCCTTCTTAGACCGTCTACGAAGGGACAGTGAAGCCGTAATGGGTCGACCCATGTCCTCAAACACTTGGGACGAACTGACCCCCGAAGACATTCCTAGCTCGAGAAGCGAAGGCAGAGACAGTGTTGTGACGACTAGTTCGGGCAGTGCCTCTTCTAGTGAGACCCTAAAATGGCACGGTTCCATGAGTGACGTTTCGGTGACATCTCATAGTAGTTCGCATCATAATTCCAGTAGCTCTACTAGGCAGTTGATAGCCCATAGCGCTAGGGTACAGACACCTCAAAGACACCATTCGGAAAGTGTGTTATATATGAGCGGGGAAAAGGAAAATAATTCGTGGAAAGACAGGGAAAGTCGGAATAATAACGCGAATAAACTTAAATTGTTTCCGCTGAATACTTATACGGTGCAGGATGATAACCAGATGAGTGGCATCAACAATAGTTCTAATAATAGGTGAGTTAATGTATATTTAATAGACATGACACAGTTTTGTTTAAAGAATCTATTATTTTTTTGTAATATCTGTATCACTTTTTTTGTGAAATTTTAACAAATAGTGGTAAAATATCTATAACTATCGTAAATTTTATTTAAAATATACAAAATAGTGACTATTTAGTGCAATTTACTACGATTTCCAAGTGTATAATAGTGATTTATTGCCAAGTTTTGTAAGTAAAACTTAGTTGACATTGCCAAACGTCGAAAAGCCAGTTACATTGTTAATAGTACGAAAAATATTTTTCATTAGAATGTGTCATAAAATGTCATTTTTCGGACAGGTAACATAATCGAAAAGTAGAAATTTTAAATAAACTACAAATGAACTGCTATAAAGTACTTTTAGGGCCTAGGCCGCAAAAGTAAAGCAGCTTTGCTATCTAAACATTCTGTTTTATTCTCAGTTTACCATTTAATACTGCTGGCGATATTTTTTTGCTATTCTAAAATAGTAGTATATAATCCACATGTACTTTAAATTTGAATAAAAACATTTGAATTGAATAAGAGAAAACTAAATAAACTATAAATCGATTTGACATAAGCACACTGACATAACAGCAATTAAGGAGTTCGCGTTCAAAACCAGTTATATCCATTTTTATAAAATTTTCAGGAAACGAAAAAACGCTTCATATTTTGTACTTGAAAAAAAGTAAGATTCTGTGAAGGAAATTTTGTTTGAACTAGTTTGACAAAACGGGCCATTGATTTCTTTCAAGAAAAAATAAAACAATTTTGAGAAACTAGCCAAACAAATATGGACATAACTGGTTTTGAACACAAATGAAACAATTAAAAATCACTAAAAATAACTTTTACTTTTTCAAAATAAAAAGAAAAATATTTCTTTTCCAAAAATAACAAAATTTTAACTTTTTATTAGAGGTGTATGGTGGATTATTCATGTAAACATTCATACATTTAGTTCAAAACTTCTCCAGTTTCTCCAACAAGTTTTTGTACCAGAAGAGGTCTTACCTTCGCCAAAATGTTCTTTTATGAGATGCCTTAAGGTTTTTTCTTTTTATCCAGTATCGAATTGCCCAATGGTTGTCTGATTAGGTCTATATCATTTTCAGATTTCCCTTTTTTAAAAAGGGATTCTCAGGTAATGACTGGCGAAACATACCTGTAATATTGGTGCGTCATCACTTTAATAGTAATTTGTTTCTTGTTATCAATAAACTTTTTAATATGTATTTTTTTATAATCCGAAAATCCTTTTATTTTTTAAAAAACTTTTTCTATACTCTATACAACTTAAACGCAACTTACGCGTAAACACAATAGCTCCTTGACCACAGCACATTGAACTAGAGGGTAAGGAAAATCGGATCACTGGGCTGGCCAATACCAGTCGGCCTTATGCGTAACATGCTGTGGTCAAGCAGCTATTGCGTTTACGCGTTACTTGCATTTAAGTTGAATAGAGTTTAGTCCTTTTACATTGAGAATCTGCCAATGAGTACCAAGAGTTTTTACCGAACCTTCTTCTGAGTAAATTTCATTGTATTTTTCTTTGGATATTATGACGGGATTTTCTCTTAAAATCTTTTCCACCCGTCCAAAAGCTCGATCCGCAGGAAGAAAACTATGTCCTCGAACAGATATGTTATGATTATTTCCTGTACATTTTCTGGGGACTTATGTTTTAGCCAGTAAATTAAGGAGTGAATATGCGAATTTTTATCATCCATCGCAGAATAATCTGATAAGGTTTATATTTTCACAATTTAAAGTTCCAATTGCTGAGCCAATTTGAGAAGCTCCTCTTCGTGCAAAGTCTTCCGTCCAAATATAAAATGTTGGATCTGTTGAAGTCATGGGCACGCAGAAAAAGGAATACAAGCTAATTTGGTGAGCATAGAAAACATCTCCAATAGGTGTACGGGAAAGAGGCTGAACCTGTTGAAGGTCAAACCAAAAAGTAATACTGTTGTCTGGATTTTCACGGCAAAGTTCATAGAAAGTATTAGCTATTTTTTGTGCATGCGGTATTCCAGTATAATATTGTTTTTCTTTTCTGGGTCATTGCTTTGTTTTAACTGCTCTTTTAACCTCGTACACTTGGAACACACATCGGAGGCAGATGATGAGAAACCAATATTAAAATCATGTATGAAGACATTTGTAAACATATCATAAGAGACCCGGTCGTTGGGCGCGCATTTTTAGATATACATTCTATGCAATTTTTTCACTGAAAGATTTGAGTTTAGATTTTTTTCTGTTGTAATGACTTTCTTTGCCACGGAATTTACCGACCCCTCTCCTTTTTTCACTAGGAATGCTTACCCGTTTCTAAAACCTTTGCAACTGTTGTGAGGTGATTGTATGGTATACCAAAAATAGCAGCAAAAAATCCTTTACAAACTCGAACCCCATTTTTCCCAGACTTTGACATGTAGCAAACTGTTGCTTTTCTTGCCCGGATTTCTTTAGTTTCCCTGTGTCGTTTAGCCGTCATAGCACAAATTTAACGACATAGAAGTGTATCTTGGAGAACTTTACTTGAATGATTATAAAACTGCTTTCCTAGAATTAATATGTCTTGCGGGTCGACCTTTCAATATTCATAGGTTTTTCCATTATGATTACAAGGTCGACTAAAATTTTCTAGCCTAGGATCATGATATGAATATCTACAATACCCATAGTAGAAAATTTTACCTCACTTTTGTCTCTCACGACGATTTCGCTGTTTCCTGCTTTTTTCTTTTACATACACACACACACACAATAGTTTTTTACTGCGACTCCCGCCAACAAACTGAAACGCCGACAATATTCGTTTAAACGTGCTTTTGTGGATATATTTGCTTTTGGTCGCAAAATTTGGATATAACTTACAAAACCGTAACTTTAGCTACTGATGAAGAAAGCGTCCGCGTATGGCAACCAAAATGCGTCTCCTTACGTGTAAATCACATGTAATTATATGAAGCTCATTTGGGACCAAGCGACCGATGCAAGAGGCCACGACAGCACTTTTAACACCGGTTTTGGAGCAGTGTTTACTGCCTTGCTGTCTATCGCAGTCATTTGCATTGGTCTGCGTTCCCAAATTGTACCTTTAGTCAAAACTTATCCGTTTACATTTTAAAATGACAGTTAAAGGTACATTTTAACAAGTCATTAAAAATAATTATTTTTAAAGAAGTAAGTTTAAATATTGACAGAAATAAATTAGTGAATAAGAAAATATTTTTTTTAAAATTTTGACATATACCTAAAGTGACATTGTAACCACAAGTGTCCAAATGATCTATTTTACGCAACCAGTTGCATAGTGTAAACATTATGAAAATGGTTTCAAAATATTTGTCACCAGTTCCAGAAAAAAAAACTTTTTTGGTATTAAAATGAATAGGTAATATACCTACATTATGATTAAAAGATTATATCAAAGAAGGGCAGATTGACTCATAAAAATAGAATTTTGTTTAACTGACAACCTAGTAATAATGTTGTTTTGGTCCTAATTTTCCATTCTAAAGCAGCAAAACATAATTAAAACATTACACGATAAAATAACCCACTTTCTTGAAATCTGAATAACTTTAACAATAAGAATGGGGTTTAATCATATGCAACTAACAATACAAGAAAGTAGTAATATTGGTTGCCTAGATGTCAGTAATTTTTTACCAGAACGCAACAATCCATTTTATTTTTATATTTTTAAAAAGCATACCATTGCAATAATAATAAAAATATTTTAGTTAAATACTTTTTAGAAGCAGCAAACAATTGAAAAAATATGTCTTAATAAATGGCAGAATGGGTGGTCTTTGTTTAGCACTTCACATTAAAATGGCGTATTATTTTTTTTACATGTATTAAAATATATTTATTGTTTTTAAATTTAAATGGGACATCCTATTACTTCTTTTAATAACAAAATAAAAACTGTAAAATATTGTAAATGGTAATATTCTTATTATTAATTGGCTGTTGTAAAGTAGTTATTTTTTTAGGTTTTGTAGATATCTTAAACAGGAATATTACTATCCGTATAAGTTCCTTTTTGCAATATTCCAATAAAATACATGGCGAAATAAAAAATTTATAGTGAACTCGTAAAACTGCTCATGCGTTTAAAACCTTGAATCGAGAATAATAGTATTTAATTGTTCATTGTCTTTTTACTTTTCTCGATATAGCCACAGGCGTATCCAGAGCAAATTATAGGAGGTGCTATAAACCTCATGTCCCGGAAAATTGATTAACTATTGAATAAATAATAATTAATTTTTTAGCATAAACTATAGCGTGCATAATAAAAATGTATTAACAAGATATGCGAGGTTTAGATTGCGATATCGTAACGATATATTTTTTGTTTCATTTTGTTCGAATTTTTGAAGGCCCCTTTTCTGGTAAATGTATGAATTATTACCATTTTGCTTGACCACAGCCGAAACAGAAACCGAACTTCGGCTCCGGTCTTAGTTTCGGCCGAAACCGAAATTTCTTATTGCAATTTGCAATATCTCATTATAATTATAATTTAGACTTCTTTTTACCTATTTATTTATGTAGTTTTATTTTTTATTAAATTTATTACACTGAGTTGTGGAGTTTCTAACGTATGAAAACTATTTAAAATAAAACATTAAGTTATTCTGAAAAAGAAAACGTTTTGTCGAACGCCGCCAAACGTGACGCGAAAACTCTTGAGAGTAGTTTCTGTTTAGGCTACAGTTCCAGCCAGTTTTCCGCCAACTGCAGCCGAAACTGGCCGAAACGCAAACCGAAAGTCCTGTTGAACACTGTATATTGTTAAATCTAGCCAGTATAAAAGATGTTACCAATTACTTTAAAACAGGAAACTCTCTGATAATCAAAGATGAAACCTAACCAGAATGTGTACATAACACAAAATATTTATTTCCAATAGTTTTAATAATTATCAGATGCTCTATGAGAAAAATTCACACATTTAAATG